CTCATTGGAGTGTTACAAGCTCTTGGTGCATAAAGAAGATCTGTAAAGTTGTAAAGACTAAAGTCTCAAATCCAAAGAGATATTCTTTATAAAAGTTAAGAGTCAGCCACACCTACCTAAAACGGCTCATTCTAACACGCCCCCACATATCTACCTCACTATGTGGGAAGATTTGCATAACGCCGCCCAAATGTTCACGCAAAGAAAGAAGGCGTAACTTTTATTCTCACTGTAGTATTGTTGCCGCTTTCCGCCATGTCCTGAAGACGCTGTGTGCTTTGTTGTGAAAGCGAAACTACTTTGTTTGGTCTTTTTTTTACTTTAAACCGCATAAACACATTTCATTACACCAAATACACAAAATAATGTTCTTTTTATTTAGGTTCGTTTGAGTAAGTGTGAATGCTTCCATCCAAGCTTTGCCAAACTCTGGCACAGTTCAACTGATACATGAATGCAATACGGACCAAACGTAAAAAACAGTGCGTAATGTCACAAGATGCAACCCTAAATAGGACACAATGCTGAAGCATATCTGGTGTTCAAACAGCCATCTCCTTGCAGTGGATCTCCATGTGTGCAACGGAGGAATTCCTGCTGCTATTTTGACTCCTTTATACATTTTATAAGCTCTTTGGTGTTAAAAACTGGTATATGTACATACATCCTACAAGTGCACTTAGCCCAGCACACAGCATTTTTGGCGATATTTGTAAAGTTCTCCAAATATATGTCATAAAAGTTGTCCAATCAGGTTATGACTGTATCTTTATGCCTTTCATTTAGGGTTGGTGTAAAAAATGACAGTGTGAATGCTAAGTGAACCAGGAATACACTTTTTTTTTTTTTTTGGTCCAAACTTAAAGAACCAAGAGAACTGAACTACACCCAAAGTCCAACAAGTGGTCTTGGTCTGTTTGTCACACCAAGTTCGCATTGCAGCGTTTACACTTATTCAAATGAACTGCACTAACTGAGAAATCGCACCACAGTTTGTTTAAATTGCACCAAAACTACCAACTGTGAATGCCCTAATTCAGGGGGGAAAAACACTGAATCTGTAGCAAAGAGGAGAGGGAAATGAACACCAGGTGCATTGCAAACCCACAGTAAATGAACTGTGCAGAAAGGTACAAGAATGAAGGAGAGAATGTCTAGAGAGTGACTGACAGCTGAGTAAACAGAAAGTTTCACGGTACCTGCTCTCTTTAGTTAACATTTCCATGATATATCTGTATGTCTGGGTAAAACCAGATGCTGATGAGACTAGCTGCAAGAATTTACCATCAACAGTGAATTAATTTCAGATTTGTAAATACAGTTTATGTGTTAATATCTATTTCCACAATGATCTGCTGCTGCTTTAAAGCATATTGTGACTTCAGCTGTGGGTCTAGTACAGTACATCTACCATGGTTTATCTGACATGCATGCTTGACGAAGAAAATTAGAAGTGCAGATGGTTGAAAAGAACAAACATGATGAAACAGCTGAGAGTAAAACGCTGTTCGCACTTCAAAGATTTTGCAGAAGGATGTAATAACACTGCCTCCTGCTGGTAGAATGTGGAAATACGGGCCTAACTCAACCTTTAAGTCTTTTTTTTTTTTTTTTTTTGATGTGTCAGGCTAATTTGTAGAGATTACAGTAAATAAGATATATGTTAATTTGGTAATTCAATTAAAAACACTGTGGTGCTATCAAAATAATACCTGGAGAAAGCGTCATGTTAGAATTCTGTTAGCAGTCTATTTGGTGGGTGCATGATCACCTGGATATACGTAATTCTCCAATCTTTGTTCTTGGGCTTTCAGTTCTGCATAAAAAATGTTTTGTGTCAATCACTTTAGCTGTAAATGCCAAGTGACTCACTCTAGAGCCACAGGAAAATTACACCCTGACGACACTTATTGACTAATGGCACCACAAGAATAAAGGAGAGAAAGAAAGAAAAACAAGAAAGAAAAGTATGAAAAATATTTTGAACAGATTTGTAGGTTACAGAACTAATTAGAGCTGAAAGTCAGCTTGAAATAAAATATGACCCCGTTTACTTGTTGTGGAATTGAGAATATAATATGCTCACCAAGGCTGCATTAATTTAATAAGTAGTAACAATAATATAATGAAATATTATTATTTCTTATATTACTTATTAAAATTGCAATTTTCTATTTTAAAATGAACTTTATTCCTGTGATGGCAGAGCTGAATTTTCAGCAGCCTTTAGTAACATTTTGTAACATTATAAAAGTCTTTATATTTTAATCAACTTAATCCATCCTTGTGGAATAAAAGTATTAATTTCTTTAAGAAATAATCTTACTGACCCCAAACTTTTAAACCATGCACACACGTACAATATAATAAACAGATAATGTTAGCCAAATAGCTAGGCATTGTTTTAACAAACTCACATTTGCTTTATATCTTGTTGAACATCTTATTTCACTCCTGTTTGCAATGTCACATTACGGAAGTAAAACGGTTGCGAACATCAATCCACATTGACTTTAAATATCAACAGAGATGGTCAGAGGTGAAAAAAAAAAAAAAAAAAAAAAAAAGGCAGATTATATTTCTCTCAAAATGCATCTTAACCTGTCACCCATGTTGTTTGTAAAGGCTTAGCCATTTAATTTCATACAAATACACAGGCTGATTTCAGATCATAAAGCCAAGTGTGACGGTGACCAGTGGCAATGACAAACATCTCAGCGGGATGTATGGAATGAAAGAGGAAGTCAGAAGTAGGGCAGAACATGATTGAAAAATCTGAATATTTTCCCTACATGTATCTCCCTCTCTCTCTCTCCAGAGATTCATGAGTTGCAGTTGTCTCCACCCCCCAACTTCCTCCATTTTAATCAACAGGATCTATTTACAAAGCCGATGCCTCATGAATAATTCTACAACCACTTCAGGACAAAACATTGACTTCCTCAGTGCTGGAGTTGATATTATGGTCATGAATCATTTAGAAACACATGAGATACGTTGTTTTTTGCCAGCACTTAACTTCGTATTTTCCTAGTTATTTCTAAGGCGGCGTTTGTATTTTCCATTCACATCACGATCATCTTCTATGTCCCACATTCACCAGTCTTCTCTCTCTGTCTTTTTTTTTTTTTTTTTGCAATCCTTTGCATTC